CAGAGATAGGTTTTGAAGGCATAATCTTGGTTGCAATTGATTTTTTTATTTGTTCATTTTATAATTGGTGTTTGAATATCCCCATCTTCAGCACCCTAACGCCCAAATCAAAAGCATTATTCAGACTAGATATATTAAACCTACTTAAAGCCCTTTTTGTTTCATAAAATGGTTTTGCTCTAAGTTAGAGCCTTTTGCCATCTACGTGAAGAAGGACCTTGTTCCTTTTGGTCTGTAAGTGCTAAAAATGTTTAGGAGTTTACAAGATTATTTTCATAAGCTTATGAAAGATAAGCTTCTGAAAGTGGGCATCTGTTGTTTCTTTGGTGCATTCTATTTCCTAAACAATGCACACAAATAGTATCCTCATTCCCTGATGCCAGCTTCTTCCACCAGGCTTTTAGAGCAGATAAAAAGCTTGGACATCCTCTGGACTGTGAAACCCAGGAAGAAATACTTTGTTTGTTCAAATATCCAATCTTGAGCTTTATCTAGCTTAAATTGAGATAGATCTTGAGCTTTATGCTCATGATGGGCTTCCTTCTATTGCCTCCTTCACTCAGATACCTGTTGCTATCAAACAGTTCCACTAAGATGAGTCCTCCCGAGGAGCTTCCCTTTTGCCTGCCTCAGTTCAGTTCTCACCAGACTCAGATTGCAATCACAATTGCTGATTGCTCTTAGAGAAAAGCTAATTACCCTGTCAGAGGTATACATATTACATTATATGCCAAGAATGCTCGTCGTATGATAGACGCGAGGAAAGAATGTATTAATAGAGATCATTGCCGGGAAAAAAATAATTGATTTGAGCTGCTACAGGCCCATTCAGAAGGTAGAGATACAAGCTGAACTGGTTTTGACATTAGCTTTTTCCTAGTAACTTCCTGGCATGTGGTCTTAAAAAACATTTAAGTAAATTCTGCAACAGGACTTGTCATTCTTATTTTGAGTAGCAATTTTCCCTTGCTTTAAATAGCAGAAATAAAAGGAAAAATATTTCATTTTCATGCATGATGCTTACATTTCCTTTAACATCAGCAATTTAATACTAATCCCTTAAGCAGTTAAGAATATATCATTACAAATTGAGGTAATACTATTATTTTCCCAAAATCTGGGTTTAAGAGAAGACTTACAGCACTGCCATGTTAGAGATATACCTAATTATGAATAACAATGGTGTGACAAGAACAGTTTTATACTGTGTGTCTTATACACATGTGCAGTGAGATGAAGATTAGAGATTTGGCTTGCTAAGAGAAAGATGCGTAAAACAGGAGGAATTGATTAATTGAAATTAAAAGCAGCAGGGGTTATGCACTGCTGCATAATGGGAGTCATGAGTTAAATCAAGAAGTCTGCAACATCATCCTCTGTGTTTGTGGAAGTTAAGGGAAACATCTGATAGTGCTTCCTGTGGTGAAGCCGTCAGCAAAACTGGATAAACTAGTGCTCCCAGGAGTCCAGTATGGGATCAAGTTTAAGTGATGTTTATATCTAGTATCCTGTAGTGAGCTTGAAAGCCCAAAATGTTAAAGGTGGAAAGAGGGAAGACGGAGCGAAGGGGAAAGAGAAACACATTCTGGCTAAAGCAGTTTCTTGCTGGAGCGCCCAGATGCCAGGCCTGTCCCAAGGGGCAAAGGAAACCACAATCCCAAAGTGTTCATGGAAATCCATCCTAAAGCCACGGAGGCAGATTTGTATTGATGCAGTTCTGTGAGCTGAAACAGAAAGGTGTAGGTTTCAGGTTCCATATACCAGCATCAAACACAAAATTTTAGCTTTGCTTCTTGATGTTTATGGCTATATATCTTTTCTGTCCATCTTTAACAACTATGAGTTATTTGTTGCGCTCTGTTTTCATTGTAAGCTTTCTGGGACAAGGGTTTTGGGAAGAGAGATCTCCAGTTGAAGGAATGATCTTGGCTACAGCTGCAATACACTTAATTACCATAAGACCTGAGAGAGATACTGAGATAAGAGATGCTGAGATTAGCCTGAGAGAGACATGGCCACGGTGACTGTATACTAGTTTAATTAATACTGATTTTCTTAGAAGAGCAATTGCTCATCAAAAGGAGCTGTTTGGCCAGTTTCTACAGTGAGAAGAGAAAGACTACATTAAAGGAAAGCCTTAAAAATAAGCAAATAAAAACCTCCTAGAGCGTGAACAAAAGCAGTGCTAGAGAGAAAAACAGACCAAGGAAGCTCAAATGACCTGAAAAGGATTGAAAAGCTATACCTAAAATTTCTTAGCCTTGCACCTGTTCTGCCTCCTCCTTTTCAAAGCCTTTTCTCTTTCCTGTCTTTTGTATCCAAAAGGAAAAACTGCAAGGGATTTACAGAGAGGTGAAGAAGACTAATAGATCTGTAAAACTGCAATCCCATAATGCATAAGCAAGCGTTATCTAATGATAAGAGATCAGGGTGAATTGTAAAATGAACACCAAACAATAGCTAAGTATTCCTGGTTGCAAAAAGAGGGAGCATTTATCTTAGTCATCTCACTTTTTTTTGAAAAAAAAAAAGAAAGAAAGAAAGAAAAAAAGCAGTTTGCTTTTATCCCTTTATTTATGGCATTTTAGTTAACTGCTTCTCAAGGAAATGCCAGTCTAGTCACATAATCCCCTTACTCATTGTGTCCACTCTTTGGTAGGTCACTAGCAATACTCAAGATAAGAACCAATTTTTATAACTTTGAGATAACTCATTTATAAGGACTTTTCTTTGCAATAGTCTATTCTTCTGCATGTTTCATTATCTCAGAAGTCATTCCTTTTGGACTATTAAATTTGGCTGGAATACACTGTACCTCAGAAATACAGTTACTTAATTTGGATGCCCTTTTTCCTGTGCAACCCAAAACATGAATATGAGAGGCAATGTTGAGGTAGTTTTCATTATGTGTTAACCTAGGATTTGGGCAGTCAGAGGGAGGTACCAGTTGAATAGGCATAATCCTAAATATAAGGAATATTATATACCTGTTAAAACTTTCTGGAACTCGGCACACCAGGAATGGTGAAGAAATCTTCTGGTAATAATGAAGGTCAGCAAGATCAGAAATCCCTAAATTGACCTAGGAACCCATAGTTCTAAAGGGCTTTTTTTTTTCAGTCTCAGATCACTTACCAGACTTCCAGACTGCAGAATTAACACTCTGCAGCGAACTGATGAAGTTGAGCAAAATCTTCCAGTCTGTGTAACAGAGACTTTACTTAAATCTCATTGCCTTTCTTGCGTCATTATAAAAGGAGTATTTCTCCTTACCCACTTTCTTATAATTGGAAAAAAAATAAAAACAGTAAAGAAATCGGTGTTAAATCCGCAAGTTGTGCTGGACAAGTCTATAATTAACCTTGAATTAGGCACATATCTAGCCAAATCAATGAGGCAAGGCTGAGAAATTCTGGATGGCACCACGTCCTTCTTAGAAAAATGGTTCAACACATTTCAAAATAAAAAACGTGAGCCAAAAATGTAAGTACCCATCTGGTATTTATCTGCAATTCTGCAGAAAAACAACCTGCCAAAGGAGCAAGTTAAGTTCTATTTGATCAAAACCACAGAACACCACTGCAAACTTTTGCATATTCCCCTACCATGAGATACCTATCACAGCCTAGCGTTGAGGAGTGCACTCAGACTGCACAGTTTCCACAAAGAACTGGACAGTTCTCAGTAGCAGCGCAATCTGCCAAAACAGCTTCCCATCTCTGCCCTACAAAAAAGCCACATATCCCAGCACACGAAGTCAGTTGCTCGTACCAAATAGGCTATTCTTCATTTTCAAATATGGATACCACTAAGAACAAGGGCAGCTGCCTGCTTGCCTGGTTTCTCTCTGTCCATGTCCAATCTTGTGCTCAGGAAACTTCCCTTTCCCTCCAGAACTCCATTTGCACCTTCACACAGGTCTTTGAGTGGCCATCTTAGGTTGTCACATGAAATGAGGCTGTATTCCCTCTGCTTTAAAGACCTTTTCATAGACTCTGCAGGTAGCACTTGGGATTTTCAAGGCATCCTGCTGTCTCTTCCAATGTGCACTTCCCCATCTGCAGCAGTGAGCAAAATTAGAGTGGTATGAGGAGACCTTCCTCAACACCCCCAAAAGCCAACCAAGCTTTTTGGAGACCCCAAGTAATGCATCAAGTCACCTTGTTGCTTGAGGTGAATTTTTACTGGTATAGTAAATTTGAATTGAATCAAAGTAACCAAACTGCAACTCTGTGGTGAAGGTACATGAGAAAAATGTGGGCATCTATCATTCTTGATTATATATTATAGAGCCTATGATTCAACAATCAGCCACTCATTTGCTTTTATGTAATTAGATGCAAACATTTAAATAAGGAAATCAGAGTCAAATTTTCAAAAAATTGTCAAATTTGTCTCCTACTAGGGCTTTTGTTCTTATGGTCCTCCATACTACTACCACTACAACTGCTTTTAAAAAAAAAAAATCATTGTTCAGTTCATAACTACACATAGAATTAAGTCAAATATTATTTCCAGTGCACATTTCATTCTGTAAGCTACACATATTCAATAATTCATTCACTGTTAGGGTCTGCAATAGCGATGCAAGGGATATGAAAAGTTTTGACCTTCATGATTAAAAACTCCAGTGACAGACAAATTTAGAAAAAGTGAAAAGCTTCATAAAGGCATCAATTACATGACCAAGGGCAGAAAGTTCTCTGGATCAACAGAAATAATCTCGTGGTTAAGACTCAGGCTCAGGAGGCCATTAGTACTGACACAGAATTCCTCTTTGATCACTGAAACAAGACACTAGAGATAATTCTCAGAAGTAATTAGACTTCGCAGTGTACAGGGTCATGCATCTGTGTCAAGTTTAACACTGAGATTTCCTACTCAATATACATGATGAGCAAGGAGTCTAAGGAAAGGGTCTTCATGAGCAGCATGGAATGAAGCCCAGAAAGGCCTTGGACACTTGCTAGGCATGCCAGGAGAGTGTCCTATGGATAACCAAACTGCAAAGGCGTGTGTCTTTCTGATGCTCAAAAGACCTATAAGAGGTAAATGAATTGGTAAGAAATGCAGATGATGATCAAGCTGACTGTTTACTCGTGTAATTCCAGAGACTATTAATTTGGATATGTTCATTCACAAAGCTTTGGTACCTGTAGTCACACACCTTGGTTAGCCAGGGGCTTTAGTGTCAATAAGAAGGACGGAATAGAAAACCTCAAGGCTGATTCAAAACCTCTGAGAGTTATTGCTCGCTTCCCACAGACCCCAGTTAGCTTTTGATCAGCAGCTTAACTGTCAGGAGCCTGAAGTAACGCTTAATGAAAATAATAATTGCCTTTATGGTAAGTGATGAAGATCATATCCGGGCATATTTCATAATCTACGAACACCACATGGTTATTTTAAATTAGCTACAATAAGTGATAAGCAATGCTTGTTTGTATGTTGATGGCTAAATAGTGAATTTGTAATCACAGCTTGTTATGAAGATCAGTATCATCTTACTGCTTTTTTATTAGATCAGCTGGGAAGTTCAGTGGTTAAGGATTTAGGGGGCAGGGATTCTTAAGTCCGAACAACAACAAAAAGATCTCTTTGAAAAAACACACATGTTCTTCCCTCTCACTATTCAGTATTGAAGGAATTTCCTATTTTTCCACATACATTTAGAGGTATATTTATATTTACAAGGAGTCATTAGCCAGCTGAAGTCCAGTTATATGTTTGCTTCCTGTGTGTGCAAGTTAAGATAAAAATGCTTTATTTCCATGCCAGCTGGTACCCCTCTCAATTGCACAGCTACTTGTTTTATAGCAGAAAGAAAATATTCCAACATACTGCACATTAATATGCAAGCATTAGTTCATCTTGTTAAAAATTCTCTGTCAAGTGGCTTTTCTTAAAATTCCTCCAGCAAGTATGTGTTTTGAAGTGTCAAGTCCTTCCTCCTGTACAATCTTCCTTGCCTTCCTTAGGATAATTTTGTGGGGAACTTTATAAAACAGTACTTCTGTAGCCAAAACATCAATGCTCTGTCAATTTTTCTTTCATCATTTAAAACATCTATTTTTCTCTTTGCAGCCAACATAGTTAAAATGCAAGCTGGAGGTGAGTTCTCTTGTAATGATCAATTTTGTTAGGAAACATGTTTTAGAAGCACCTTTCAAGTTTTCCTCAAGCACAGATATTCATGAGTTTGGCTGCTGATTCTTTGTACCAGGTGATAAGCAAGAAGAGAGGAAAAAAAAAATAAAAATAAAATCACAGCATGATTGCAGATTGAATGTGCAGATTGGCAGGTACAGAACAGCTTACCTCCAAACGTGGGCTGGAATTCATAAGAGACAATGAATGCAGATCTCACATATGTCATTTCTCAGAGTCATTGGGTCAAAATAAATAACTATGTTTGCAACGCTGGCTTCGTGCTCACTCACAGCATTAGTGAGTCTGGGAGCGTCCAGTGCTGCCAGTGAAATACTAGATCTGCAGCGGGTAGCAGGGAAGGGATGGGCTTCCAGACAAGCAAGGCATACAGCTGGATTAAAGGGGAAAAAAAAAAAAAAAAAAAAAAAGAGAGAGAGAGAGAGAAAACATTCAGATAAAATGCGTCACTTCAGCTCATTTCCAGAGGTTCCCTCCCCGGCTGCCTGCTTTACCCAGCAGAACTCAGGATAATCACCGCTCCCCGCCTGCCAGCCGTCACCCTCCGCGCTTCGCTGGGACGCCAGCCCTTTCCTTTAATGTCCAGCTGGACAACTGCCGCGAAAGCTCTGCTAGAGATTCAGCTCTGAAAAGCCAATATTTTTAGACACAGATTTTTAATCTCTCCTTTTTCTTTAGCATAAAAGTGAGCTTTAATACCTTCCCCACACACTCCAAAGCCCTTGCATTTCCTCTGCCCTTCTCACCATGCAGCATATTACTAAAAAAATAAAAATCTCACAACTTGGTTCCCCTTTTACCGTCTTTGACAGTCTTCCCCAAACCAAAACTTTTTAGAAGCACATTATTGAAACAAATATAATTGCTGCCTTTTTTTTTAATCCCTTTCAAGAGAGGAAAAAAGGCAAAGCAGCCAAGCAGAGCCAGCCTCCTCCCCAGCAGGCAGAGCTACCAGTTGCACCTGCAGGTGAGCAGCTGTGCTTCTCTTCCACCTGAGCACTTAAAGGGCTCTCAGTATGGGACATGTAGTGCTTCAGCCTCCTCCTTTTGATTTCTATGCATCCATCGTTCTGCAGACAGCACTTGTCACCTCTGGTTTCCTTTTCGTTACCCGTGTGTGTAGTAAGAGCACAGCCCTGCTTTTTTCTACCTTCATTCTGGCTTTATTAACTGTTATGGATGCACTGTTTTTCAAATAAACCTTTTCCATCACAGCATCATTCTCAGCACTTCTCTCTTCTTAACGGCATTCCACTGGGAGGCAAAATAAGTCTTTACTGTAAATACTTCATGTGTGTCTAACACAAAAACACCAATTCATTGTGATGGTACAGCTGTGATGGCATTTACAGAGGCACCTCGAGAAGAAACTAAGTTATTTGAAGAGGCAGCCCAGGCAAGTCACCTACATCCATCTGCATAACATCCCAGATAATCATCACCGTAATTTCAGTTTTAAATTCAGTATAAAAACAAGTTTTGTTCTGCTTGTTCACTAGGCCAAAGATTTTATCTCTAGAAGAAAAGATGCAGAATGATATTTTGCTACTGTATCACAAAGTTTCTTTCAAGTCCAGTTTATTAAATTAATAGATATTTGCCAAAGATTATTTCATCCTTTAAACTTCTTTTTTTTTTTTTTTAAAGACATTGAATTACCCTCAGAATTAGAACAACTAAGCAATTGCAAAACATATTTTGCCATTAATGTAATTGCTTTCAGCCATATTTCTTGGACATTTTGCATTTGACAGGAAGAAGGAAGAAGGAAGAAATCACGCCAATTTATTTTATGTAAGCACTGAACTTGATGAACTCAGCCAATTACAGGATAGCCTTGATCAATTTGTACCGAAAGAGAAGTGAATCACAAGTTTTTATTGGGAATGAATTATCAAAGCAATATGATAAAATGTGAACATTAATCTTAACAGTAAATAGTGCAGTCATGACTTACTCCTGTTACTGAGATGCTGCTCACTACAAAAAACTTCACATATTTTTTTTTTCCCAGTCCTTTCACTGCATAGGGCAGGCACAGCTCTCAGAAAACCATCGAGCAGAAGTGCACCCCAGCACCTCAGGGCATCCGGTGAGTTCCAGACAGACCACACGCAAAACGTGTCTCTCAGTTTGCACCCTCCTCCTCCAACCACCCACGAGCCATTTACTGCCTGGGCTTCCTTCTCTCAAGTTCACCACCATAGTAAAGTAGCACAATTAGCTGAACAGTTAATCTGAGACCTCACAACCCACTCAAGGCTAGATAACTATTAAGCACATCTCTCAAAAAATCTTGTTCAAATATCGGGCCAAGTCCTGTAGCACAAAACACGTTTTCCCCTTTCTTCCTTTCCTTCCTTGCCAGATGGTTTTCAGCCCCCTCAGCTGCTCCCTTGTTCAGCCCCTGTCCCTTAGATCACATCTCATGCATCCAGCATCTAGGGACAGAGTTTAATACCAGTCACTTTTCAGTGCAGCCACCTGGCTCAGTGAGGCAGATTCCAACAAGCACCTTATTTTTGGTTATCCTGTCAGGCTTCATCTAATGTAGCCAATTCCACCTCATGCCTGTTAATCAGAAAGTCTCTCAAGTTCATTTTTGTAGTTAAATCAATTGACACCCATAGAAAGCATCTCTACAAATTCAGAGTCCATTTCCCCAGCCTATTTAAATTTTTACCGTTAACTTTTATCCTTACTTTCTCTCTTTGCTGAGTTGGAAATGCTCAGATGTTTTCAGATTTAGCCGCATGCTCTGCTGTGAGTGGTACCAAAGATCTGCCTCTCCTACCCTTGATACTTCTGGCAGCAGCTATTAGGGCTTTCCCAAAAAGGGAGACATCAGTATAGTGATCTGCTTTACAACTTCCATGTTCTGGGCATTATACTCATCAGTATTCTCATCAATTCTCATTTGGGCATTTTCTCTCAGAGATGCCCTGATGCTCAGAATGTCTGCTCCTCCTCTCAGGGAGGACATTTGCAGCCTGCATCTTCTAGAAGTCATTCTTTCATCTCTTTTTTCTCAAAAACTGCTTCACAAAGTTTGTCTTTACAGTGTCCACCTTTTCCTGACACTTCAGCATCCAAAACACATAACTCCTGCAAAAGGTGAAGGCCAAAAGCATCTCAGCAGCTTACCAGCTGCCTCATGATTGCATTTGACTGGCTCAGCTCCAAACCACAGTCCACGAGCCCTTATTTCACCCAGTTTCCTACAGCGGAGATACAACAGAGACCTCTTCCCCTAGAGACCATTAGCTCTTAAATCATGCACAGCTCAAACAGGAGAGCTGAACAGGGCCTGCTAATCCCAGAATTTGTGCATTTTACAGGGCAGACAGCCTGTTACAGCTACATAGGGTGTAATTTAACTAGAATTAGGATGTTAAGGGAATGGGCACATTGGGGTTGCAAACAAGGAATCGAATATACATGAAATAGAACCTCTAATTGTTTTCACTATTTTCTCTAAAACTTTACTCAGCCTTCAGTACAATGGAGCCTTCTGTTGGGATACATGAAAAAATGTTTTGTTTTTGGCTCCCGCTCAGGAGCAGAATTTCACTTTTCCCCAAGACAAACTAAGTTTTAAAGCGTGATATTGGAAGTATAAGTTCTCTCTTAGCTTTTAGTGACCTTTCCTACATCCACATACTTTATCTGCACAAAGCTCACGCTACAATTCTCCACAATCATGCACAGTATGTCCTAAAAATGCATGCAGGACAGTTTTATTCTAATTTATTTGTAAGAGAGATACGTAAACCTTTCTTATGTGCTATAGATGGTAATAAAACAGAGGTACAAAGTTTTACCAAAATTTTTATGACTGTAAATTTTGATTCTAACCTCTGAATGAAAAAAAAAGCCTAGTAGTCAATACATTTTAACAGATTTTTCCATCGTAGTGTTTTTATTAAATAAAATATTATCTTTCAAAAAAAAATACCCAGGTATTTTGCATAGTACTGAAGTAATCTACTGTAAAGTAGCTACTGATGAAGTGGGGGCTGTTAGAAGCAGCCAGAAAGCTGAAAATCATCATTTTTTGTTGGGGGTTGGACATAGGGCAAGTTGATCCATAATTATGGGTTTTATTATGGGAGATAAAAACCGTGAAGATGATATGTGAGTGCAGTTCTTGTACTTTCTCTGGGGCAGAGAACTCAGATACAAGTACTGCTATTCTTGGGACCAGACTTATTTTCTCTCCTGAAGCAAAGACATTTGGAAAAGACATCAGGAACTTCTGTGTCTGTCAATGTATGTTTAAGGAAAGATCAACATTATCTGTTTTTATTCTGGAAAGTTCCAGTAATATTTCCAGTAATATCAGTGCTCATGTGAATTGAATGTATTAAGGGCATTGGCGTGTCTGCTTGAAGATGAAAGGAACCAAAAATCTTCCAAGTTTGAAAATTTTGTTTCCTGTTATGTATCCCTAGCGAATTCCTAGAACAGAGGAATTCAACTCAAGGAGCAAAAAGTTGTGTGAAGTTACGAATCAAACCAGCCCTGAACTTCTACCTACGCATGAATTAGGTAAAATAGATTTGTAACCGAACCCCCTTTGACATTTTAACATAGAAATAGTTATTTAATTTGAATGTCTCTGGTTTGAGCTGTCCAGTTCAGGTTTCCTGAGTAGCAGTGTCAATATTTAAAAGTTTTTGTTCTATGCAGGTGGACAGAAAACCCCCTTATTCTCCTAATTTGGTGAATGCTAAATGCAACACAGCTTTCTCCACAGTGCTTTGTCAGTGCTTTGGTCATAACTTATTCTTTTTGTGAAAGGGAGCACAAACAGATAAAAGTCATGCTAAAAATCTGAAAGCTGTGTGTTCCAGGTATAGAATTTCTTTAAAAAGCAGTTTCCCTAGTTTCCCTAGTAAGATGAAGTGTCAGCAGTCTGGAACTAAACATGATATAGAGTTTTTAAGATCTTACAAGGTTTATATTTAACCTTTCAAAGAACAGAAGATTTCTGAGAAACTGATTCCACTCTGGGGCAGCTTTTTGGCTGTTCAGAGCAATATAATCATCAGAGCTGCTGTATCTCTGTTTTGGTTAGAGGAGAAAATGCTTAGCCCCATAGCTTCATTAAATGCATCCACGACTGCTAAATGTAGCATGCGCACTGCTAAATACGTGTGCTGACCTGCAGGGCTCCCTCCACTCTGTGTGTTTGAAATGAACTGCCAAACAGCAATCACTCCATTGGAAGCACCCCACTAAATAAAGTTTACTTGACTTAAATATCAGCATTTGGATGTTCTTTATCAATAGGTATTTATAGCAATTATGCCCAAATTAATTATTTTCCATGTCCTGTTTTTACTTTTTGGAAATGTTTTAAATGCTGTACAAAACTTTTCACCTTAGTGATGGCCTCTTGGTGTCCTTGCAAGAAGATCCGGGTTATTTATTTGTGTTATTCATACGTGGACAGGATACTGATATTGTCCTGCTATATGCCCTACCCATCTACAGTCTGTCACCATGCAGACTGCAGAGCCAGGGACACTATTTTGCTAACAACTGCTGTATAAATTCAAGAGGTCACCAAATCAAAGGGTACTTTTTTTTTCATTCGATGTAGAGAAGACAAAACAGTAAATCTCTTAAATTGCACTGGTGTTCCCTTATACCTTTCTGTGACTCCTGATATACACAGTAGTAGTCATGGCCCCAGCTGATACAATCAGTGTGCTTCTGTTGGGTCTATTGCTAATTGGCTGCACGAACACATTCTGTGTTCAC